ACATCAACTATGAAGTGGACTCCCCAAAAGGGCATTGGTCCATCTGGTCCCCTAAGAAATGCTTACAATGTTATTGATTGTATTCCTCGGACTATCTTTTTCTATCCCTGAGGCCATATTGCAATTACCAATTTGTATTGTCTCATCCCTTCATTTTAGAAGAGTGGTATATATGATATAAATCCTGCTTTACAGTGTTAGGTATGTTTGGCTGAATTTCTAGACTTGTATTCCTTTATGTTTGCTATATGCCTGAAAACCTGGAAGTACTTTATTTAAGCCTTTTTTTTTTGTAATGGCATGTTCTCATAAGTTTCTAGTTCTCCACTCTATGATAGGAAATTGCTTTCATTTGAGTTTGTATGTCAATGACTTTTTTTTTCAGCTATGAGATTACATACAAACAGCAGGTGGGAACCGAGGATGTATTCCTAGCATTGACGAGAAAGGACTCTTCAACAGCGTGTTGTCAGGATATAGTGGTAAGCTTCTCCCTTCTCCCCCATTTTCCTTATGACCATTATAGCTAAATTGACTACCTGTTATATATGTAACACTGTAGGCAAGGTTGTAAACTCTTTAAAAATAGTGGTTGCTATGTTTTAGGCACTAAGGGAATAATGGGATAGGCAGTTTAAAATTGATAAACACATACAAAATAAATTACCTTTACACACATGGATAAGATTTACAAATAAACACAATAGAATCATATGACATAATACACTATTTCTAGTCCTATGAAAACTTCTTAGTCCGATTGGTCTGAATTTCTTTTATACTAGTTCTGTCCCATGCATGCCGTCTGATTGGTTACTAACTTCTGATGAGTTGGCAGGCAATCAGAATGAAGTATTTCTTCCCTGAATCTGTCTTCTCTCTTACATCTGTATTTCTTTAATGACTCGGCTTACATTGGTAAATTTTTTTTAAAAAGGATTTTTTTCTTAATTTTTGGATCTGAACTTCTAATTTAAGACTCCAAAAAGACATCTCAATGTTGTTACTTGGCTTCCTAATCTGAATGACACTATAGCATGTTGGAGAGCATCCTTTGCTAAGCCTCTGTTTATATATAATAATAACAATGCCAACAACAACAATGAAACCACCTTATTTTTGCCTATTTGAGCCTTGTAATGATCTTGTTAAAATGTCAGAGTGTAACCAAGAGTGTAGAATGCAACTAATTTTGACAATATACACCAGTAATTCTGGTGTGGATAATTTATTTTTTGAGATCCAGGGCTGTACGTCTACCTTGTCTCCTCCCTCTCTTATAATACTCTACAGTATAGAGTACTAAGGTGCCCATAGGAGATGCTTAATATTTTTTCCCTAAGCAAATGATAAATTGAGTCTCTCTTTTGTGTTAACTTCAGGTTTTCTCTTGTTAGCAAAATGTAAGACATTCATATTGAATCAAGTAACATAATCAAAATGGTGACTTTAATTACCTCAGGAAATTTTTCAAACTCGAATGAGTTAAGGTTTCAAGTGATCTTGAAGTCATTAGCTTCCAGGGTTTTACCAGTAATATTCAAATTCTTTTCTCTTAAATTACTGTAGAATTATGTTTTTGATGTCTAGTATTGAGAATTGCTCTAAACTCTAGAGAAATTCTAAGCCCTAAATACATAAAAGTGTTGTGGGCCTTATCATTTCTCTCATGCAAGTCACAACTAGTATTAATGATAAAGGTATCCTGAATGAAAAATGGAAACTAAGTCACACCTCAGAATACAATTTATCTAAAACTCAACAAGTATATACCAAAAAAGATTTGATCCCTCCCTCTAATGAATTTATAATCAACTGGGGAGAACAAACTAACCAAACGAACTCATCTTATTATTAACAATTAAACTCAGTGTTGACAATTATAAGTCTCCCAGGAGTTCAGAGGGTTTCGATAAGGAATGAATACCAATGAATGGCAGCAGCAAATGAAACATTTGTTGACGGTATGACACTTTACCACATTATACTGTTCTTTATCTCCTTCTTTCTTTTTATTCATATCTTCAGTCTTTAGAGACCTAGTGAATAGTAGTACATACCAGACACTGTCCTAAGTACTAGGGATACAGAGATAAATAAGAAATAGTCAATTACCCTCAAGGAATTTCCAGTAAAGGAGAGAGACACCTAACAAACCACTGCAGTTCAGTATGGTAAGTACATATTTAGAGGCATATACCACCTCATGGTGACATGAAGCAAAAAGACATCAACTCTCTTTTGGTGGATAGGATTTCTACAGTGTCCAACATTCCAAGAAGGGCATTCCAAGCAGAGGTAAGAACACATGGAAAGGTATCCTGGCATGAGATAGCATGGCCTATTTGAGTAAGCTGTGAGTATAACAAGAATAAAGAATAACTGTGGACTGGTACACATTGTCGTGTACTGGTAAGCTGACTCTCAAAAAAGAAAAAAACAAAACAAAACAGCCCTTATGTGTTGCTTGAATTTTATCTTGTAGGCATATTAATGACATCTACCATCATTGCTTAATTCCACTGATAAGACCCAGACTAAAGAGATTGTTGACCCCATCTCAAATATTTCTTGCTCAAATTTATAAACTTATTTTTTCCTGTTGACAATATGGCATTTTCTCAAATCTAAGACATCATCAAATTGTAAATGTGCTATTCATTTAATAACAAACGAAAATAGGTATGCTACCATATTAAATGTACGTATGTGTTATGCAGTGCATACCAATATCAGAAACATTAAAATGAAGGGAAAATTGTACCTTAGAACTGACTAAATATGTTATTTGGGTCCTGGACCTGGTCTATATGTAAAAACCCACCCCCAGAGACTTTAAGAAGACCTCTGCTTAAGCTGAGCAAGGTTTTAATAAGATCACAAACAATCTGTTTAAATACAAGGACTGATCTGGGGTTTAAAAATTTACAAGGACCACCCTTTCCTTTACCCTTCCCAGACTCCAAATAAGAAAGCAAGATTTATGAGTCCTAAATCGTAGCAATTGTTCTAAACAAAATTCTGTGTTAAGAATATGTATATCTTCAGCAAATCTTTCGTTCTTTCCTTTTAACCCCAACCCAAAGAGCTCCATTATCCAAATTCTGCCAGCTGCTCTACTCCGCAGTTTTTGGTTACCAAACTTCCCTTGCTTTATTTTAGGCATTTATATTTTAAATAAAAATTATATGTATTTAAAGTGTACATGATGATACGACATACAGGTACATAGTGAAAGATTACTACAGTCAGGCTACTTAACATATTATCTCACATAGCTACCATTTTTTTGTGTGTGTGTTGAGAACTCCTGAAGTCTATTCTCTTAGCCAATTCCCAGTATTCAATACAATATTATTTACTACAGTCATTATGCTCTACATTAATTTTAGAGCTAGAGCTAGACCAGTGGCTTGTAGGTGTGTGTTTGCCTTGTTTTTAGCTGTCAACCCTTTTCTTCAAATAAAATTCTATAAGAAATCTCAACATATAAAACATAAAAGCACACTTGCCTTGGTTAAAAGGGTACTATCACCCATGAGGCAGCCCCTAGGGAAAAAACTGGGGCTCCTTGGAACACATTTTGAAAGATGCTAAGCTAACCTTTCCTCCTTATATTACAGTTCATTTGAAAAAATAAGGTCAAGTTTACAAGGTATCAAATACTCATATAAATTAATAGAAAAATAATAAGTGGGCTAGAGGGCTTTTTCCTCATAGGTGGCATGTCTATGTTTTTCTTCAAACCTCATGGGTAGAATGCCCCCATCTTGTTTTATTTTATTTTGTATTTCATTTTCTATTTTTTCCTCTATAATCTCCATTCCTCCCCACAAGGCTCTCACTATAATGGGTTTGATATTTATCCTTGACTATATATCCTTGAATACATGTTTATCATATTTTGCTATATATTTTTCTAATTCAACAAATACTGAGCACTTGCTATAGGCTAGATACTTGCTATATACGCCTAGTGTTGAACAAAATAGATCCGTGTCTCCTTCTCTCACGGAGCTTATGGTCAAGAGAGCAAGCAGCCCACAAGCAGCAGCATAGACTTTCATAGATCTGTCCAACAAGGAAACAATAAGATTAAATGAATATAGTTTTTTACTTACACAGACAGCATAAGTAAGATCAGCATGGTGTCAGCTCCCCATGTCCCTTTGCCTCACACGACGAAGACATCAAAATAAAGGGGCCAGATGACAAATGATATGAGCAGTGGAGCACTCTGTTACTGAACAGCCCACTCTAGACTGCAGCTAAGCTGTTTTATAGCCTGCATCTATACCCAAGGGGAGGGAGATAGAAAGTCCTATGCCTCACTGGAACCGGGGACTAGGATGGGAAACTGGCTCTTGGCAGCCTTCTGCAATGTAGGGGGCCTCCCACAAGGTAGAGACAGATAAGAAACAGCCTGAGGCAACTCCTTGCAAGACGGCCTATCTTCTCATTCCAAGAGAACCACAGGATGTTCTGCCAAGACCTGGGGCAGATCAAAGTTGAGCCTTGCCTACGTGGCCCATGTGGGTAGTGCAAGGTTGCCAGAATGTCATAGTGGAGCCATTTTCCTACATCTACAGTCTATGAATAAAAGTGTTTATCCTGATGTTTTCACTTAATATAATAATGATAGCAAATAATTTATATAATGCTTACTATGTGCCAAGCATTTCTTTAAGAACTATGCACATAACCCGTTAATCCCCACAACAAAACTCTATGAAATCAGTGCTATTATCTACATTTTGCAGATGAGGTTACTGAAGCACAGAGAAGTTAAATAACTTGCTTAACGTCACACATTTTGAATCTGACAGAACTACAGTTTGAACTCAGGCAATCTGAATTTGATAGAAGTATGTGCAAAGTGGTATGGGTGCAAAGAAGAGGAAGCCCAAGCAGACTTCCTAATACAGGTGGCATTTGACAGGGACATTCAAAGAACATAATAGTTTGTCAGGGTAGAAAATCTGTCTAAGCAGAGAGAACAGCATGAGCAAAAGTCGTAGCGCCATGAAAGTATATGATCTGATTTGAGAACTATTCCTGATGTTTTTGGAGCCCCAGAATGCACTGGCATGGACGAATAAAATATAAATAGAATAGGCAGTTTAGAGATAGTTGTAGAAGCCCTTGAATATCGTACATGACTGAATTGTGTTGCCCCCAAATCCATATGTTGAAGCCCTAACCCCCAGTGTGATAGTATTTGGAGATGTAGTGTTTGGAAGATAATCAGGTTTTTTTGTTTGTTTGTTTGTTTTTTGTTTTTTTTTTAAAGATTTTTATTGGGGACTTGGGGGATGGGAACAGTGCTGGGGAATTGGGGAAAGGTGAACAGACAAGTTGCTGTCGTTTTGTTCTTCAATCTAGTTGTGGAGGATGTTGCTTCACTGGCCCAAGTTGGCACCATCATTGCGCTCTTCTCTGGAGAGGCAGATCAGTCGCCGGCTTCTGGACGGCCGCTCACTGC